TCTAAGGTGGTGCTACCATGTAACAGGCTAGCAGGTGTAGCGAATGACTCTGGTAAACTTGGTTCACTCAAAGGCATCAGGTGACCATGATTGAGGTTTCCTCATTTACAACCTAAGCTTCGAAACACCTGAAATCATGTTTAGTTCTGGACTACACCAGCACAGCATGAAGGATACATTACACGGCCATGATCGATCATGGCAATTGTTGGAAACAGGGAACTCAGATGCTGCCACCCTAATGAAGGTTACAGACACTAGTGTAGACATTACCATAGTGTATTCTTGTATAAAAGAAAATTAAAAACAGAGATAACTCACAGCAGCAGCTAGACAGCCAGCCACGACTAGGCACCCAAAAAGGACAAGTCCAAGCAAAGCTAACTAGGTTAACAGGAACCCAACTGCACACACTGACAGACTGATCACCCAAAGGTTGTGCTGCAAATCCTGCTTGGTTCACTAACTGAATCTCCTTGCCTCTTGCCTCCAAATTCCCTGTTGGAAACCCCCTTTTAGGATTCTGAGACTATTCTGACAAGCACAGAACCTCATGATCCTGCTTGACCCAGTCTTAAATCTGCTACACAGGGACAAGAAGACAACAGAAAACTAGGGAAGACTTGGTTACTACTTGTTATTTTCCTCCTTTGAGGGGCCTCAGAGAGGTCCTCTTTTTATAGACAAAGGGGCTGACAAATGCTATATCCTAATTACCCAATCAGATCTCACCCACCCACCAAGTGATAGTACAAAGCAAGGTTGCCATGGTTTATGAACATCCCAACCTTCCTAACTGTTTGGGTCTCTATGAACAATATCTGCATATTACTCTCTTTGTTGATACCCATCTTTGTGCTTGAATCTATGACTCCCAGTCCTCTGCAATATATAGAATAATACTTGTACCTCAGAAGCAGAAGCAGTGTCTACTACATATATACTACATGGTACCTTGTGGCACTAGGTGGTGGTGTAAAATACTCAGGTGGTAGAGTCTTACAGTTAGGAAGTTCTGGAAGTGCAGGCAACAACAGGGTACATTGGTTAACATGAAGTTCTTAAAATTGAAGTATAGCAATGTTATATTGAAAATTATAATTGCAGCAATTGAAGTATAGCAATATTATATTGGAAATTATAATTGCAGCACTAATGGTGATTATGTAACATTATATTACAATATTATTGAGTCTGGGCACCCCTGCTTTGATTAAAGTCAGATATGAGGAAATTACTCCTACACAGATCAGCAGAATGTAGGTGCATATAGGAATAAGTAAAAAGGGCAGATTATGCTGGCAGCCAATATTTGTGAACATAAGGCTGTATATGGCTGAAAATGAAATGGACATATATATCATAATCTGAAGAGCAGAAAAACAAACCCATGCAGAGGGAGGCTGAAAAATACCTGGTATAAATGTAAAAAGAACTTTTTGTATACTATATATAATATATAAGTATTATCCCACCAAGTGATAGTACAAAGCAAGGTTGCCATGGTTTATGAACATCCCAAGCCTTCCAGGATTGAGTGTTGTTGGGGAAAGTCAAGATATAGGTGTTACCTACAACTAGACTGGGTGCACCTGAGAGGTGGATAGCCATGTTAGAAGCTATGCCATCACTAGAGAATGTTTCTGGGGACTTTGTGTCAAAAGAGCAGTGAAAGAGTTGTATTACAGAAAGGAAAAAATGGGGTCCTAAATATAGTACAGATCACATGATGACAACCTGATTTCAACCTCTAATTTTGGGCGCATAAAGCAACTAACTAAGAAAATGTTTTGACAAGCTTGTAGCGCGGATTTAGGGCTTTCTAGAACCATCTTGGTTTTGTTGATAAGTTAATAATTCACTAAGTTATTCAAGGTACCATCCCATGGCAACTTCAATGAAATCAATCAATTAATTCCAACAAGTGTAGCAGCCAAGGATCAGTGTTCTAGGTGTTAGGCTCAATAGGGGATAACCCTTGATACCTCTCCCCAATGATGTCAGCTTCAAATCTGGTTCTTAACAGCCAGACCAACTTCCATGTGGACCTACCCTTCATAGCCCTCCCATGACATAAGTGCTGTCTCACCTTAGCCCAACAACAGAAACCACTTAGCAGAGAGCAATTACATATCAGACACAGTGTTGAGATTCAGGCTTAAACCATGCTGTATGATCTATAAAACATGTGAGATCATGCTGTGTGACAGAATTCTTCTGTCAGTGCTATGGTTATACTAGTTAGATGTGGTTCCAAACTAGTGGTCACATGACTTTGCTGATGGTATCAGCATTCATTTGACCAGAATTAGATAAATAAGCAGATTTAGCCATTTCTGGCTAAATTAGATGAGTATTCTGACACACAGGCATCTGCCCCTTTCAATCAAGTGGCACAGTGTATTTAGGATGACTTGCCTCACTTGTGATTGGCTCTAAATGGTGCAATAGGCTGACAAATAGTTTAGGATGACATGTATGAGGTCTGATTGGTTGCAAATGGTGCAATAGGCTGACAAATAGTTTAGGATGATGTGGGTGAGATCTGATTGGGTAGTTAGGATATAGCATTTGTCAGCCCCTTTGTCTATAAAAAGAGGACCTCTCTGAGGCCCCTCAAGAAAAATAACAAGTAGTAACCAAGTCTTCCCTAGTTTTCTGTTGTCTTCTTGTCCCTGCTAGCCTGTTGCATGGTAGCACCACCTTAGACAACAACCCCAGACTCTTGGACCTTCTGTGAGAGATCAGAAGCTAAGATCCCCAGACCCCCAGAACCTGCCCTAGACCTTCTGAGTAATATCAGAAGACCCCTGCCTCTTATCCCAGACCCAACTTATGCCCAGAACCCCGCTCAAGGACTCCTACAGACCAGCTCACACCA